TATATATATATATATATATCAATAAATTTTTCCGCTTTTCCGATCTCAGCATACATTTGACAATAGACAACAATATATTTACCATTGCTAGCATTGCTTGCATTCACAGTGCGGCATCTCACCTATTGGGTGAAACTGAAAGTCTTCTCTCCCAGGAATGGGCAGACTAAGAGTGTCTTCAACTCAGAAGAGTTTCCATTCCGCTAAGACTGTCTCGAGCGGGATGTGATTGATTGAGCGGTAATCTGAGTTAGTAATATCATGACAATAAAGGCCTACTCAACCACGGCCTAGCGTTGTCGTAGAGAACGTCTCCAGAAGATTTTCTCAGACGTTTTCCAGGCCAATCAATTTTCGGAAGTATATTTACCAAAAAGGTCAACAACCTTCTATTATCCTTTGGGTAAATCACTGATGCCTTTTATCCAGGAGTGAGGAAGCTGTGACTCAAAGAAGTAATTGATTGCCGTTTTCAGATCACTTTAAGTTACGAATTTTTCTTCCACAACGGGATGCTCAAGAAGGAGGAGCGCATGGTAGGTAAAAGGGGCAACACTTGGGGAGTACGGCTGAAGAACAACCTGGAACCAATGGGAATCGTAGAACTTTTGACGCGTGTTTAAAGCGAAATTTCGACTTGCGTTGTCCTTCCGTAGGGACGTGATTTACGGGTTTGATCGTCCTCCTCTAACAACGTCTGCCGAATTTCGGGGTCCATAGGGGTAACCGATAGTTGTGTCCATCTAGTCTGCGTTTAGCAACTCACAGTGAATGGATCCCTTCAACCTCCATTGAATTAAGGGACGATGCTTGCGTTGGTTCGAAGACTAGTATCTCCTCCAGTGAAGCGATTCAACCGATTGTTGACCGTTGATCGGTGAACAGTGCCAGCATTGAATAAGTTGCTGATAATTTGAGCCGCTACACCCGCGTTTTTCCTTTGGCGTGCTTAGTATGTAGAAGGTGATGGTACGAATCGGGTCGTGTCCATTTATTGACTGTAATGCTGCTAAAGCTAACACGCGTGCCCTTATTTACTCATGTGTTGATTACCTGATGATTGTCCTACAAGTTTATCACTCTTGCTACCATGTTCACACTGTTGATACAAATCGTTGACGCTTCAAATTTTTTGTCGCAGGACTTTCCTTCCAACCTAATACTTAGGTGTCTAGAAAGATTCTTTGGAGAAAGTGGAAGAAAAGAAAGCCCAATGGATTCCCGTGCTTCCCGTGTGTTATACCTCAAAGCATATGGTATCCATCGAGTCAATACTTTTCAGGATGTGAGCGCCTGGGGTCGTCCGACGATTGTTAATCTGCAACACCTGGATTTCGTCGTAAGACTGCGTGTGCTGGTCTCCGAATCTCCTTCGACATATTCTCTGAAGACGATGTTTTCGCACCACTGTGGCATCCCGGTCGATGTTGGATTATTGAAGGTCGTTTTTCCTTCGGTGACCTGGTATTCCCGCCTTCAGTGAAGCTTCTCACCATCTGCTCCTGAGGTCGCGGGTTGCCTCTACCACACCCTTGCCGCCATGCTGCTCAAATGCCCTTCCCCGTGCTCTTCCGCTTTCATAACGCAAAGAGGCCATTGGTCTCTAGTAATGGTGCTCGGTCAGTGGATCGCACATGAAATGACCGAAAGCAGTAGCTGGTACTTGGACATCCGCACTCAGCTGCTCTTCCGATGTCGCACCTTCCACTGACTGACATCATCGCTATCGGAGATGAAGAAAGAGTCTTCTACATCAACCCCAACTGCAAGTCTGCTCGGTTTAGTCGCAATGAAACGCCAAAACTATTCGTTAACAGTGGAATCCATAGGGAGAAGGTCATGCTTAGTGTCGAGTGGGGAGCTTACTCATTCCAGTCCTTTGAACTGCAGCAGGATAACACGATGGTTACTGCCGAGTTCTACTGCATTCGATTGCAAACAAGATAGACAAGATAATATAGGCAAGGGGCATCCTAGGTTAGACAAAGTTGACCCTGGGTGGGGAGTTCTGCACCCGCACAGCACGGACCTGACCGTGAGCGACTTCCCATTTTGCTCCAGCATCACCTGCAGTAGAAGCGTAACGCTAGTCGCCGTCTCTCAGCCACCCGAGTTTTACACCAAAGTGATCTGTGCCCATACAGAACATTGGCGGAAGGTAGATGCTGCTTATAGAAGTGTTTTGCTTTCGAATGATAAAATGCGGTTGATCTCACTTTGTTTGTTAAAATTTGCTGTATTTCGACAATGCATTACGCCGCCCTGCGCGCCCTAACATATATCCCAAGCGTTTTATACACACAATTGGAATATATCTGGAGACAGCGTGCCTACGGAATCCACAGGAATGGTAGCATGAATAAAGATTGTTGCAAAGAGTTTATATGTACACTGTACGGTGGTCCAACCTATCTGCTCCATAAAAGTGATCACTTTGCCATTTTTTGTACCCTCTAGTGGACATGCAAGTCTATCTTTCATCCTACCAGTAGTCCAAATGTGGAAATCAAGTGTGAAAATCGAGCTCTCTTCTTCTCTCACTAGACACAAGAGATACTGGGACTTGCCTGACACGTATTCTCCTTGAAAGCACAAGCCATTAGTGTTCCGACGGTGTCGTTGAGCAATGCCACAACGTCTATTTCTATATCCTGAACTAATGGGATGGTATAACTTTCCTCTTATGGAACGCAGGGTTGGAAAAGGTTCAATGCTGTGAACAACATGCAAAACCGAGTTCGATCGGGCAAGCTACCGAATAACTGTATCGGATCCATTACATTGATGTAACGATCTTATTTGTAGAAGAGATAGAGGTGTGTTGCTGGACAAAACTCAGGGAACCTTGATTTTGAGAACCTATTTTTAGGATTCTTAAGCTACTAATATTCGCTAGAGATACTAAGAATCACTAGACTTGTTGGCTGTTTGCATGCGGGTGGTGTAGTGACAAGTGGCGAACTTCCACATATCCGTGGTCATTAGTTCGAATCCGGACCGATATTCACTTAAGCCAACCAAGCATTCTATCCCTCCGGGGCCGGTTTATTGGTACCAACCTCTTTTGGGAAAATAAAAGCACTGACTTGTACATCAGCTGGGGGAGCATCCCTCGAATGCGATTGATTGAGGTTCAAAGATTACACTTCTATTTATAAACTGAGCGAGATTGAGCAATCATTCTAGCTTTGGCGGGCCCAGCGAACAGAGGTGTGTAGATGAAGAGCTCAGATCAAGGTGAGCAACCTGAGCACGAAGGGTATAGTTTGATCAAAACCGATTCAAGGTAAAGGATAAAGCGAAGCAAAAAAATTTTGTACACCGAAAACATGAGGAAAATTTTGAAATAACAAACATATAAGAAATTGGGGACGCATCACAAAAGCAGAGCTGACAGTGGATATTTGAACGGAAAACTACTCACAGAGCGTCTATTGCAAGCATCTTTGAGCATCTTGCACACATCAACGCCCTCACAACCGCTAGCTTTGAATCCTTTGGTCCAGCGAATCAGTTTGGCACTGAAATCTCTCATGGTTTTAACATATTATATGGAGAGATAACGGTGTAGTTCCAGCAGAATAGGTGTTTCAAAGTCGGAACTTATTCTATCAAGAGGGATGCTCAGCGATGAACAGTTCCAATCCCTCCACTCGTAGTGCAGGTAGTGCTTCAGATTTCGAAATCCTATATTGCTTGAAAGGCGTCCCTTCTAAAGTGTGAGAGAGGACAGGCCGCCAGAAAACTACTTCCTACGTTCTTGTATCTCCGTGAGTCCGCCACCTTTATCGTACATACATAATACATCGTACGTACATACATGGTATATCGTCGTCTCAGACGTATGAGACGACTCCCTAATTAGGCCACGCCCTTAAATGATGTAGACTTTGTCCCCAGTTTCTTTTGTTTCTAGCAGCTCAAGGGCAAGACATCGGTTGACTGTCTTGTAAAGTACCAAAACTATAATTCTGTGCTCGCATAGCGATAACATCCGCACTTATTATTTCATTTGTTGCATTTTTACTCCGTTACCACCGGCGTTCATTATGACTACTGAACCACCCGCACAACCTCACAACCTTACTTTCTGAGAAATCGCTTCACATTCGGCTATCCGATTTCCTTACATATAGGAAGGAAGTAATCCCTTATCCACGGAAGAAAGGTTTCTGTAACTGCTACCGGAATGATTCCGCACTTTTAGAATACGGATTTAAAATCAGCGCTCCATCCCCATCAGTCAGTGCTGCGACTAAAATCCTTTCCATGTCACTCGAGTCAGAACTCACCTTGTTTTGACTTGATGTTTTGTTCATCTAATGGTGAGAGAGAACTCTCACCATCAGATAAACAAGGCATGAACACTTATGAAACGCAATTGCACTCTGAGCACAGGAACCTGAACGTTCTTCCCCAACACTTAGGAAATGCTAGCACATGGAAAAGGGTTGACAATAAGAGAACCAAAAAAAGTGATCTGGCGATGGAAGAAGAAATGGCTTTAGAGAAACAACCTGACCTCGTAAGACCTTCCTGTTGGCAAGGGAAGGAGAATGTGAAACCAAGTGGCAGCTTCCTTGAAAAAGGTATTCCTTGTTCTTCCATGAAGCGCGCCATGCATTCAGCGATGTGATCAAATAGCTGAATAAATGCATATTGGAACGGCAGGAAACGATCATCATTAAACTAATGGAGGGAGATTTTGTTGGGTTTATATGAAAACGTACGGCTGAGTGATAACGACCCGCAAAGTTTTATTAGGGATCTCCACTCCCACAATAAGTTTGACGGTTTGCTTAATTATCCACATCTGTAACTCTCTTACTTTCTTCCAGGTTTGAGCATACTCGAATGTAACGAAATAATCTGCT